GTTTGGTCGTAGTTTTGACATTATACTTGATACAGCTTAACAATAATTTTAACGTAAGAAGGAAGTTTGAATACAACTGAAAATACTAAATACTATTATAGTCAGAACAGGAAACTATTACACAAAAGCAAGCAAAATGATAATTGCAGTGCATTTAAAAAAAAAAACGTGAAGTACCAGTGGAAGTATAAATACTATAGAGAATATTATAACACACAATCGGATTCATTAATATAAGTATACTCCTACTGTAAGTGAAAAGAGAAATTGTCACAGGTGCGGATAACAAAAGCACAATGGGTCACGATGGATTGCGCAATACGAAGATTTCCCTAATTATTGAACTTACCGACACGAATCGAAAATTTTTTGTAATATTGTGACATCATCAAAGTCGGTTTTTTATCGGAACACACAAGAGTTAATAGTTATGTCCGGCGACAACGACCATGATCGTCAGCAATGACTGAGTACCGCACGTAATATACTCATTGTATCCGAAGTTGGTTACCAGAAGAAAAAATATTATCTCATGTCCTATTATGAAGTATTATTATACCTACACATTTCACTAGCGACTTTTATCTTAAGAGTTATTTAATGGAAGTAGGTTCTAACACATTCACAAAAGAGCAACTCAATTTCTTAACACGACGGTAGTGTGACAAACGATTAAAATTCAACAAACCACCACACCCGAAATATACAAAAACAAAAATCGCATTGTTTTAAACGCAATCGAACGGGAGAAAATTGAGACTGTATAATCGAATTACGAAAAAAAAAAACGGTTGACTTATTCTGATAAAATTCTAATAGATAATTAACCATTAATTTTGAAGTCAAAAAGAAAAATATCATCACATAACTAAAATTAATTTTTGTCATTTAATATTTATGTTTAAAAATTCACATTATCCCCAAAACAATTGTACGGTGTAACTTTTTTATTCCGTGTACTTTTTTACATTCACAAAGCTTCTATAACTCTAGTTTGTTTTTCAAAATACTTTTTTACATTCACAAAGCTTCTATAACTCTAGTTTGTTTTTCAAAATATTAGTCATACTAACAATAGTTATTTTTAAATAAGTACACGAATACACGTGGAAACAATTGACAAAGAAATTAAAGAACATAATAATAATAATAATAATAATACGGACACAATTTCTCCGTTTTTATGTTACACGTGTAACACTAGTAAATAATTATCGAACAATTATTAAGACACGAAGAGTTCACTAAAAAGAAAACTATATCGGTGTAACATTTAATTTCTCAAAATTGATATCACGAAGTTACTGTCTACAAATGTACAGCATACACGAAACACTACTAAATGTTAAAAAACAAACGCATTTAAATGTGTAATAATGGCACATCTGTCAATAAAACGTATGCCATAAAAGTATTTATTTAGCGTCTCTTTAAGGTTATTTAAATTTTAAAAAATCATCTCGATCGGAAGAATCGAGCCCGTTTGAAACATATTTACAAATTGTACACATGTTTGAAATCGGACACGGAGAGATTGCAAGACAACAATGGAAAACACAAGACCGTAAACTCAGTGAACTGTTCGGTGGTAAAAATTAGCTGTTGTGCTTTTCCTATACATACAATCACCGCGTGAATAGATAATATAATAATACAAATACACAGCGAAATTTGCCAATTATCATCGGCTATTGTTATTGATCAACCCTGGAACGTGAAAGTCGCACACGATATGCAGCGGTGGCGGACGTCTCATGTAAAACATTAAACATTTTCCACTTCCGCCGTTCCAAGGCGTGCGGTTTGAAATAGTAAAACTAAATTCTTATTTTCCAATACAATGTGCATAGAAAGTCATTAGATATTTCAATTTACAGTATGCGTTTTTGATTCCTTAAACGGCATATCACCGCCACCGCAACCTGATTTGTACGTTTCCAAACCGTGACAGCCGCCATTAATAAAGACAAATGCATAGTGGGTGAAAATAGGCATCGAAATTTAAGCAAAAAAATATAATTCAACTCAAGAAAACGCCACTACTTATGTACCCACGCAATGCGGTTTGACCCGGTTGATTTAGCTCATTGACGTGTGATGGAAATTAACACCGTAGTGTATTGTCTAACAGCGTGTACAAAGTATAGCGAAATAAACTAGGCCAGATATCGTGTAGTTTTGTTTTTTAGTAGACAGTGCCGTCAAAATGCATGAAAAACGATTTTACTTAAAACAACATAGTTTGTGCGATTTGCATATGTATTAACTCTGGCTTCCCATTGTTGGCAAAAACCACTATATAATGTTGATACGATGGATTAATAATTTGCCGTTTATTATAAACAGGAATTTAAAATGTTAATCCATAAGAGAAGATAATAAAAATAAATACAAGTAAAACGCGCATAAATAAAGCACATTAAATTATTTCATAATAATTATTCGAAGATTTAAACAGCTTGATTTTTAGTTTGGCTATGTGAGAATAACACGTTGTTTTTGCTTAATCTAATTAACAAATTTCATAATTCATTTGCAATTCAATAAAAAAAATTCTTCAGTTACGCGAACAAAATTCACATAATATAACCAATACGATAAATTATTTTGGTCAGACGCGTATAAAGCGATGGGAATAGTAATATATTTTTTTTATAGACTAACAAGATCGAAAAGTAAGATAAAGTACTGGCACTGCGTTTTATTATTTCTGTCCATGTATCGTTTGAATAATTTTAATTCGGAATTGACATATTTCCATTAAGATTCATGTTTAGATTTGATATAGGCGTCCGAACAACCCAAGAAAACATATTCATATTGAATTCATTATTAATTTATTAAGCCAAGACGACTACGGTATAGTTTATAAAATTCGTTTAATAGCCATGTCGATAAATATTAACCAATGGATAGTATACGATTTCTTAACGAAGCCATTCGTCATTACATTAAGAGTAATTTATTAACACGTCTTTATATATCTATGCATAAACACTTTTTACAGCAGCCTGAAGTGTAACAAAAAAACTTTCCACCCGATAGCAAAATTGATTGGCATTAAACGTCACACCAAAGTTGACAGATATAAATATGAATAAGATTACATAATAATACTATTGCATAATAAATATAACACTTTTAAACATTGAACTCAAAAGCTCTATCCGAATTACGACCAATAAACGAACAACTGTGCAAATACTTGTACGAAAAAACCAATTATGTCCTGCACTATGATCATTATAACAACCTAAATTATTCAATCTAGACATTCTAATTTTGATTAATGTAAATCTCGATACTATACTCAATTAACATTTTTATTTCGCTGCATTATTCTTTTTCACGATTGTGCGTCGTTTTTATTTCTATAAAATAATAATATACGAACAAATATTTTAAGACCTTGATAGCAGTTCACCAAGGGCGTACGCAGATATATGTTAAATACCGCGATGAAAATTTTATCATTATTATGGTAATAATATAAAAAATAAACGGTCAACGCTTTATTAAATGTTTTTAGGTCGACCAGATCCGATTAGGATCATATTGCAACTGAATATTTTAAAATAATAGCCGTTGCTGTCGTTGCAACAACGTACCGCGACAAATGACATCCAAGTTGAAATTTTTCACCTACACCATTGGAGATAATTTCACTAATGAGTAATAACCGTTTTAAAAACACAATATGTGCATACAAAATTCAGGCAAAACAAATTTACTTCGACATGCGTGGAAAATCATTCGTTCCCCAAGCAAATACACTCAACTACTTTAACAGTCACGTACAAAATTTTAAAACTTGGGTTGTTAGATTAAAAATAAACACATACGATCAAGAACCATTACGTACAAAAACGTTATTATACGCATAATAATTACATGTTTTTGTATTTCAACAGTGCGGCGCATTGAAGAAATTAATTGTAATGCATATTGCTAGATCATTTATAATTTAAAATTTTAGCGTTTCTGGGGTAAGTCAAACACATAAATGAAGTGAAAAGTTTCAAAGATCCTTTACGAATGTTTTAGTCGAGCACTTGAAAAAATAATTCAACTAAGCGCAATATAAAGCTGTAGTTTTAAATAAGATTAATCGACGTGTCAACCCCATAAAACATCCGGTAGTCGACAAGAAACATAAAAAGTATAATTAGTGTGTAGCATGCGTATTCACTTAAGGGAGCGTCTTTAACAGTATATTAGACTAAAACGAGTACTAATAATTCATTAAGGTACTGAGACATTCGAGAAACTTACAAATATAAAGGGCACATCTCCTAAGACTAACTAATTCGGGCCATTTATTTGCGTAGAGTGATTATATTAAGATTGAAAATCTAATGAGTACATAAATGATGGGCTTTCAAAATAACTTGACGGACAAAAAAACCTTCCACATATTTTTTTCACTTCAAATAGTGTGAAGTTATTCACAAAGAAATTGATGGAAGAAATACCGTTAATTGAAACACTAGACAAACATTCGTTATTCGATTACACTCACAACATAACAAGTTGTTCTATTAATATCAAAATAATAAAGGCACAAATGAGGATAATATCCTTTTTTTACTCGAATAGAAGTAATTATGTTATAATTTTTTTATAACAAACACAACTGATTTAACAAGATTTCTAGGTGAATGTCAACGTATTATTTTTGGCCCAACGGCTAGGCCGATAGGATATCCTTAAGTCTATAGTGTAACACATGACAGAGGAAAGGCGAAGCAAATCAAACGCTTCTGCGATACACTGAATGCCTTCACAAGTCGCAATATTATGTGCGCCAACAGAACTTTTGTGACGGTAGGTCCATATAAACAACAGAAGAACATTAGTCTTGATAAAGAGAAATATAAAATACCTAACTTTGGCCAGATGCCATTTAAAAGGTGTCGCGCGACAAATCATATTAACAGAACTTCAGTATATTTATAATGTCATATGAGGTGATAGCAGTAAATGTATATAGTTTTCAATACCTGCGGTTTGTCTTAATGGGTTCATCTTCGTCCAACGAACTGCCGGCTCCGGAATCCTAGAATAAAAAAATATAAATTTTAGTACAAATAAAAAATAAAGACAACTTAAAAACTACACAACTCGATAAAAAAATTGTTATTACAAATATCAATAAGTAGAAAAAGGAGTTTCAAGTGACGTTAAACTTTTATTAGAAATAAAAACATACAAGAACAATTATTTCAAATTATATGAAGTCTCTAGACTCAACATTTTCTTTATATCGCCGGTAAAAATAGTTGACTCCGTTACAAGCTTTAAATAGCCTATGGAAAATGTTGAGTGATATTCTTGAAAAATGACACATAACAAATATTTTGAATGGCTTATTCTAAATTGGAATCAACGAGATAGTCCCCAAAAGGAAATACAAGTTCACTACTAATTCTGTTCGTTCGATTTGCCAACAAAAATGGGAAAAAAACGAAATACTTTAAGTGGTAAATTATATTAAACGACAAATCCAAAAATAGAAATACGCATCTCTCAGAAATTTCAACAGTGAATAAAAATATTTGTTTGGAGTTGAAATATTTCCGTGACTAACAACTACCATTGTGCTCATCCGAAACCACACGGAGATTAACGAGTTCGACTATGAGTAATTATGAACCTACAAAAAAATGACTACAATAAAAAAATTCGTACGAATATGACACGCAATCGTCGTACCTACCCATTTTTCATCAGCAGCGAGTGTGATATTACGGCGTATACATTGTTCAATGACAATAAAACTTTAATTTTTACAGTTGTTTCATATATATATATATAACCTATGCACGCGGCTCGAACCAAGTTCAACGCACTGCAAACGCTACTACCAATAATGTATTATAAAGTACCACCGTATGAACTAGTAAACGCATTACTGCAAACGATCGAGTAGCCAAGCCTACCTATATTTAGTATAGGTGTACATTACCGATTACTGCAGAAATCAAACCTGCCAGAGAAGTACAACCCGCCGTATCCAAGCAACTAGAGTTCAATACAATAAATACACCGAGTGCATTAGGCCCAAGCGGTTTGTTTTAGTTTTAAACATTGTGTTCATTTCACTATCAACTAGAACGACCAAATAGTAAAAAATTAATACTTACAACACAAATGAAGTGGTAAGAACGCGCGAGGACGATAGAATGAGATTTTTAGATTTGAGCTTTGTTAGATTAAACGAGTACGTTAAACTCGCCCAACTCGAAATCAATACTTGTTGAAGTAATAATTATATTTACTACAACAACTTATAACGTCGTAAACAATAAACATACACTTTACAACCAATTGTCTAACGGTATAATAACTTGTTTACCGTGTATACAATAGATAAGTGTTCCATTATATAGAGTCTAAATTTATTATCACGAAGAACAACATTTATCTACGATAGTTTGCCTAGAAAGATAAATATTCTTTAGTCTTCTTCAATTAGACAGAAAATTATGTATATATAAATATAAAAAAAAAAATACCATAATGTTTCACTGCATGTAGCATTTATTTAATTTTTATTCAAATTAAAAATACTATTTTAATGTACTAAAATATTTCATCGATACTTTTTAGATATAAATCAAATAATAATAAAGACGTATATAGCGTGCGAGTAATAACTTTTTATTATCGTACATAGAGAAGAAATTCAAACGAGCGGAACAAGAAAATTAAAAAACAATTATTTGTCGTAACAGAAAAATTATGACATCAAATTAAAGTGTAATTGTAAACGTTTTTGAAAATAATTCGGTTTATATTATGTAAAAATAATCAAAAAGATTCAGGTCGATTTTCATAAGATTCGCTTGCAAACCTGTAACCGAGTCTATAAAAGGGCACACGAAGTAATTACTATTAGATTAAATAGTAGATACGATACACGAACACGATGACAAATCGTGTGTCTTAAGAGAAACATCCCGTCGGATCCGTTATGTTTTTTAGTTAAACGCGAAGGCGCAAGATTCACGAGAGACACTTTCACTGTCACGACCTGCATGCTATTCCAAAGCCAACAACATTTGTCAATTTAATATCAATTTTTTCTACAACGCGTAAAAACTAAGAAAAAATAATCACGTGCGTAACGATATGATCAATAACAGTTTAAATGTTTCAAAACGGTTGTAGTGTCGGCGGTGGTTCTGGGTCACGAAGAGGCGAGAAAGGTTGTAGAAGCACGTGAGCAGCGGCCTCAGAGGCAATAAGAAGACCAGAAATTAGGCTAACGTGGTGGGCATGGAAATACACATTTGAGTGCCAATGGTGAACTATTATTATTGCTCGATACTCAACCACCAACCATTTACCACCGCCGACTCAGTCCTAAACAATATTAAAAAACTGTTTTAATACAGCAATCGTAATAGTCATCACCCTTGAATGGTTAATTTCATCGTACTCGACAATTTCTTTTCTTTGAACATTGTTAATACGCCGAAATATCATTATCTTAATAATTCATACCTCAACAAGCTTATCGAATAATCGTTGTTTGTGATTGTCACGCAGGTGCACTAAAACCCATCAGGTTTTTTCGGGTTACTTTTTTTTTTATCGTTGGTCGTGCACACCTATATGTAAATGACCTCCTTGAGTCACAGCACTATGTACGACACCATTTGCTATCGTCTGTAATAATCTTTGCGTACACTAAGAAAAATAAAGAATTACCGAGGAGTTCGCATTGCGATTAAAGTTTAATGTGTAATAATAATCTGTCAAATTTGTTTTATTTATTATATTCTTAATTTACTTTCCACTATTTAAAATTATAACTCAAGGGGAATATTTGATGAGAACATAGTAACAATGTCAAATTTGGTAGTGTAATTTGTTTGGATAAGGCAATTTTACGAAATCGGCGTAATAACAGGTTAAATCGATATAAAAAAACAAGTAACATTTTTAAAAATATATACAAATTTGATGAGCTAATAATCATTGAGGTCAATTAATTCTTAACGCATGACACTATGTTAACGTCTCTTCTAATGTTTTTTAAGACGTAACGAAGGATATGTACGTTGCACAACAGGTACAAGACAGAGCAAGAAGAGTAAACACTCCCAAAGTGCAGTCTATTCGGGTGCACCAAAGATGCACCTAAAAAAATGATCAACAACGACAGTATGGGCGTATCATATGCCTTGTGCATATCGATTAAAACCCCAACCGAACCCAACTGAGATGATTCGACGAGACACAATTATATGACAGCAATGATTCTTGCGCCATGAACTACACAACACAAATCTATTATTATACACAAACATGATATAACATTTAACGCTACGAACCTGACGTAAAAAATATCAACCGACATTATTAAGGTATTATATTATACAAGAGATTATCATAAGAATAGATGAGGATAAGCACGATCCATAATTTTTATTTTATTTTAGGCCACACGATTTACTTCCAACGGTTTCAATGCCGGACAAAATTTTCGCCATTATTTTTTACATTAGGAGTATTACCGACGTTGGTAAAGAACAAACTATCGTCTAACCACATATTGGATAATATTAATATACTTTTAAATAATAGAACGGGTAATAAAATATTGTGCAACGGCGCGCACTTATTTTAGATAAACATTTTTTTAACGATTTACAACTAGTACACGTTTTGTACTACTACTTTTATGACTACTTAAAAAATGTTTGATACGCTAATAATTGAAAATGTACTTTATGCATCATTTATTTGACATTAATTCAATTTATTCAATAACTCTGTTATGGTTATTGATAATTAAATGATATAAAATACAAGTTAGAAGTTTTAATTTAAAAGTTACTATGAATGAAAATAATTTATATTTAATAATGGGATATATAAAAAACAAATATTTAAACAGATACAATAACAAAAAACAATTATAAAATAAAAATACAATAAAATGAAGGGTGGAATGACTCCAAACAAAAATGAAATATAAAAGCATAGAATAAGAAATTCGACCAACCCTAATATTCATAACACAGTTTTAGATTTTATCAACATTTAAAACGAAAAAGCCATTTTCAAAAATAATTTACTTCAAAATTAAAATGTCGAATAAAAAAACTTGAATGCAATGGGCTGTAATTAATGAACTTTGTTCCATAGGCACAAGCTGGTACAAAATAAATTGGAAAAACACCGCTGCATACGTATGTAAACTCAACATAAAAGTTTATTTTCAAATAAATATTTAGTCTATTACAAATTGATGTTATAACTGTCTTAAATATGCAACTTTAATAAAAATTCATTTGTCGTAAATAAATAACATTATACGAATAATCATACAGTCTCAACAGGACAATGACTCAAACGTCATATCTGTCAAAACTACGACCTAATAATATTGTATTGTAATCGTCCTTTTAAATAGTAATTATTATTCATTATATTATCAATTGAACATATAGAACTATAAATCAGCTGACCAAATAAAAAAAAACGTAATTATATTCTTTAATATTTTGCAATATTTGCAACATTCATTAATTTAACATCATTCGAAACGCACGCATGCGGTCTATATATATACGGTAATGATTATTTTAACAAAAAATGTTACTGTAAATCTATGTACTGTAAACAACACTAAAGGTTTTGTTCCACGTCGAATTCTTACTGTCGAGAAATGCACACTGTATTATCAGAAAACGGTTAACGCATGTAAAGTGAAACACTAAAAAAAATTGCGTTATAATAATAGAACAAATCGGTAATTGACTGCACACTATTTGCAATACATAAAGTATTCGTACAATAGCGACAGAGTTATAACTTATAATTATATATTTATTGTCGATCAACTAGAGGTTCGAAAATGCTAGAAATGCAGTTATTCAGTGATTTTTACAGTTTGGCTAAGCAAAACAAAAAATCTATTAATGATATTCAACAAAATCTAAGTTAACACGGGATAAACTACACACTATTTATATGATAAGTACATATTATACAGCTAATAGGTTATATTATAATTGTAAAAACCAGTTACACAACTTGTGGGTT